TTATCTAAAGCAGTTATGTAAGAATAATCCACGTGTTTCTCTCTATAAAGGAATATGTCATGTTTTCAAGTCTTTGATATTATTATTGTCCTTCCAAAGCATTACAATGCTTCTGCACGTTGCTACTTTTAGCTGCTTTTTAGCTGCAGTCAGAACGCAGGTTTTTAGTCTTGGTAAATGTCCCACAGTTAAAACTCAAGAATCCTTCGACATAAATAAGGTAGGAATCAAATTTGTTATCTTAAAAAGTTTGAAAAATAAAATAAACACTTCATGTATAAATGGAAAGAGAGAAACATAAACCATAATTATTATTGGCAGTTATTTAATATATTACATGAAATATTTTCAAAACACAATATTGCATTAGAGATACTTCCACAATTTCTGCTGTCTAGCGTACTTATAAGATAATCTCTCATATTTATAGTCTTTAACTAATTAATTCTTTCCAGTATTTGGGAGACTGGTATGAAATATACAAATTCGAAGCAAGTTTTGAAGGAAAACAAAGATGCATACGTGCTAATTATCAGGCTAAACCGGATGGTCATATTAGAGTGCAGAACACTGGAATAGAGTCGGTACCATTGCTAATATTTTTTAAGAGTATCAAAATGATATAAATTGAAATTTTATTATTTAACCTTAACCAGCAATAAGTAAAAGGCTAGCAATATGTTGTACGTCATCTTTCCAGAGATGGTAAGACCATCACAGCTGTAGGAGATGGATTTGCACCTGATAAAGATTTTCCAGCAAAGCTTCAAGTTAAATTTTCAGAAAGTAAGTTAATTAATATCTAAAAAATAAAACGTTAGCAATGTCTTCACATTTTTTTTCTGTTTAACGTTTGGTTTGTGTTATAGAGTATATGAATATCCTAATATATTCTGTTCATTTCTGAAAAGCTACATTGGCTAAGATTTTTCAATACTATTTTCAGAGGCTCCATATGGTAAATACTGGGTGTTAGACACTGACTACGACAACTATACGTTGATCTATTCATGCACAGACCTAGCCGGGGTCAGCCATATAGAGTTTGCATGGATCCTAAGTCGCAAACGGACATTAGATGAACAATACAAAACAAAGCTATACGACCTCGCCACATCCTTCGGTATCAAGACATCGAACTTTCAAACAGAAGATCAGACTGGGTGTTCTTAAAATTAACTACATGTGTCTCTTTTCATCACTGTCTGTCTGTCCAACAAATATATGTATTCACTGACTTTTTGTAAATATTTTTAAGTTCTGTAAATAATAGCTTCATTAAAGTGTATGATTAATAACTTCCTAGCCGTCTGCGTCTATGGGTTCTATTTGTGGACCATGTTTGATGGCCCACACTGCAAATACTTGAAAGTAAACAGTGACTCATGAGACATCTTCAGGAACTACAAGAAGGAAATGTTGGTGGAAATTAATTTGTGATTTTATGGTAGCTAGCACTGCACTGTAAGAAACGCAGAAAAAGACAACCGAAAACTTGTTAAACGGATGTTACTGATTGATAAACAAGAGCATGCAACGTAATTCACTGACCTTTCTTTTTTTAAAAAAAATCTTTTTTGAGGCAGTTGCCTTAAACGATGCATTAAACAACTACGTGGCACTTTCTTTGATTAGAGGGTGTATTCATCAACGTAAACATAATACTTTGTGTAGCTCGATTAAATGGTTGATTTTCCTTATCAGGTGAAAGACCCTTGGTAAAAGAGTTATTTGTTAGTGTATTATATTATATTAAATGGGTTTGATATAAGTAATGACATAATCCATGTCTTTACTTTTTTTGAAGAAAATAGTCCTAAATTTTTAAGTTTATCGTGAAATATGCATCAAATATGCATGCTAATGAAACTTTTTAAAAAGAAATTTTAGAGAAATTGTCTCAACGACTGCAAAAACAATATAATACACGAAATTTTGTACTATTTATATTGGAAAAAATCTTAAAACAGTTCGCCCACTAATGTTTAGTACCAAGTCTATTAACTGGATTTTATTATCATTTTAATTTCCCTAGATTTAAAAAGATAATTGGTGTTTTATTGTGGTCATTTCTAGAAGCATACTGTTTTGAATTGATTTTTCTATTTACTTTTTTAATACAGTACATGTATATGTCTTTTTGTAAGTTTTGTAAATAAACCAGCAAGTATTATGAGTATAAAAGTTGACAGAAAAACATTCCCTTTGACTGGCATTTCAAAGTTCCGAGATTGCTCTACGACATATTGGGGTTAATTCCAGCTGCAGTCACTGTCCTTTGTTGATACTTCCATTCTTTTAAAAATTTTCACCCAAAGATATTAAATTCATTAGTGGAAACGATAAACTAAAGTCAATGTTTTGTATAGCATAGACAACTGCTTTTGCAATTTAATGGAAATCGTCAACATACTTACCTTCTCATTGATCATTTGCGAAATTATTTTGTCAAAAACCATTCTGATTATATCAAGTTGGAAAAGATGCAGTTTCTGTTAGGTAGCTCAGGGATACATGTATCAATTTTTGTAATCATATGAAACAGAATTGGTTCAAACACTTTTAAATAAGACAAAGAAAACATTTGTTGTGACTTTTAACTCGAAATATAATGCATGTATATCGACGAAGGTATTGTCATTAATAATAGTTACTTCCATTGATAAGTCGACTCTGTACATCCCAGTAAGTTTAAAAGCAAAATTTCAACAAAGACTGACACATCGTTTCATATTTTGATATTAAAACTAGAAAAAGACTTAATTAGTAACATAACAGCAAAGTTTTATGATAAACGTTATGACTAAAACTTTTCCTGTGTCAAGTACCCCAGCAACATTATACAGCAACATAAATATCCCCTTGTCATCTGCATTTAATGTTTATTACTGTCAAACGAGCGGATTCCCAAAAGCATGCTCTACGTATGAACAATTTCTGAAACAGAAACAGAAAAAGCTATTGACAAAGAAGTTTGATGACACAAAAATATCAACAGTCTTCATTATTTCGAAAGTATTTGGTCAATACAATAGCCTTTTCAGCAGATACAACCTATCACTGAGTCAATGCTGAGTGATTTTTTTCATACTTATTTATAGACAATTCTTTACCCACTGAATTAATTTTTTTTCTAGATTCGTTTGTTTCTCTTAATAAGGTCTACTTGGACCAGATGCCATAGAGAAGTAAGCATCTCCTATTGATCGGTCGTTTTCGTCATGTGTCGCTTGTCTTCGAAATGTTAATTTAAAACCAGATTGTTGTTGATATTCTTGAGACATCCATAGTCCGGCTCCTTCTAGATACTGTAATGTCCTAATTTCAAATTAAATGGGATTATCAAATCAATGCTGAAATGAAATAGAGTAATGTTGATAGAAGAAATGCCGTCGATAAAGCTAAAGGAAGAAACTTTTTAACGTTGATGTTTTTAAATAAATTTTAGGCTTCATATGAATACAGGTCAGAGCCACAATTAGTACTCATGAGAATTCCAAAAGATTTACCGAAGACAGGTTCTCCAAAAACTACAGAAAAATTACCAAAGAGAAAATCAAGTTTTTTTTTAATATCAACCTCGGAATACTGTGTGAAAAACGATAATGTATTTAAAGCATTTTTAACAGAGTAAGTTGACAGATGACTGACACTGCATAACAAGACATGCACATTCACACGCTTTATCATTTTATTGAACAATTGTCTATGATGTTAAATAGACGACCTGGTCTTAATCTCGTTTTTTTTTCTAAATTTCAAAAGCTTAAACTGATTTCGTACATTGAAATTCAATATTTTTTGTTCCAAAACCTAAAATTTCAAATTTCCAAACATGTATTATGTTTCTAATTTTTTTTATTTTTGCCTTAAATATTCAAAATTCAATCTTCCAAAAGCGATTTTGGTATTTTAAAATTTTTCGATTTTGATTTATTGTTCCTTCAGAAAATTCAAATTCTACAATCTTAAATTCAGAACCATATTTCGTATTTTGATATTTTGGAAACGACTTCAAGCTTATTAATTTCATCTTTCAAACGTTTTATAGTTTTTTTTAAATCTTAGAATTTTGAATCAAAACTGACACTTTTTATAGCCAAAAATTCTTTTTATATTATGAGTTTTAAAAATTTTACTTCAAATATCACAAATATCAAATTCCAAACTCGATTAGAATTTTGAAACTGTGTCAAAAAGTTTTAGGTCAAGCGAAAGAGCTTTTTAGAAACTTAGAATACTAATACAGACATTTTTTCAAAATTTTAAAATCAGATCCGGTTTGGATATTTGATACTTTGGATATTTGGACTGAAATTCTAAAAAATCAAAAGTGTTTGGGTTATTTGAAATTTGAATGTTTGAATCAAAGTCCAAATCTTCTAAAAATCTAAATCGTTTTAAATTGAAGTTTGTAGTAAATTTCAAAATACAAGAAAGGTAAAAAATATATAGTACTGAACTTAGATTGTTATGTTGTAAACTTCCTGAAAAAACGATAGGCTAAAAACTCAAAAATACCGAAATCTTTTCTTTTTTTTTATTTGATTTTTTAATCATTAGGGTAAAATGTAAAAAAAAATTTAAACATTTTAAAACGTGCTTGGAAATTTTTAAATAGAATTTAAATTTCATATTTACGAAATTAGTTTGAATTTTGGAATTTAGAAATTTGACCCAACGTATAAATATTCTTCAACTTTAAACCATTCTTAAAATTTGAATTCTTAAGTGTTACTCGGACCAATATTTTAAGTAGAAAAGAAAAATCATAAATGGCTCTAGTTTTAACAAAGTAATAACATATTTTCAGTTGTGTAAACAATTTTAAATCAATTGGATAAATTGTCTACATTCAGGACATGTTCATGTATGGAACTATTTGAGTCTAAGATCTTGCAGTGGTTTGTATTGAAATTAAATATTCCTTAATATTGTAACCCTGTTTACAATCCAACGTTTAAACAGATTTGTAAAGTTTAAAATTACATAACAGGAAAAACAATGATAAAAGATTTAATTGCAAATAAATAATGGCAACATTTTAATAGAATGTAACAACATATGCATATGACTTAGAAAACCAATCAAATATCTTTTGATTGACAATCACATAAAACATCACATTATTTACTCATCTTCACAACTTAAAGAGACTTTTTAATGATATCATGACTATTCATTAGATTTGAGGGCGTGGACTAGAATGAATGACTAAAACACATACTCACTACCTACAAAATTTTACAATTGAACACCTAAACTTCAAACGACATTTTCTACATGGACGTGGACAAACACAAGGTACAAAAATAAACACATTCAAATTAAAATCAGATGGGAAAAATGATATTTTTAAAAGGCTGTTTATGTTGCACAGCTAAATTGGTACCTCTGTTACCAAATCAATTTTTCTTAGCATATAGTTCTTAACCCCAAAAACATTACTTTCAAAAAATCAGAAAACTGCTTTCATATTTCTATTCATAAACCTAGAAAAATTTGTGTCTTGGTAATCTAAAACACAGAGAAGATTAAATTTGGGGGCGAAACGGTACGAGCTACTCTGCAGCCAAACTGTCCTCCCTGACGTAACCTGCGTCATCATTTCAACGTCATAAACATGAAGAGGACAAGCGGATTATTGCTCCACAACCCTAACTGTTGAGAATCTGTTCCATTTTCGCATTCGACCCTCTGGTACAAGAGATTCCCTTTTACCCAAGACCCAAATTGGCACAACCGATGAGAGAGACTAAACCAAGAGAATTATTTTTATTTTTTCAACCAAACAGCCCATTATTTCTTTGTGTAAACCTCGTCCACCAAGGTACTTGTTGCACAGGCCCTGATGCAACTCCATTATTTGGCCTGTTGCTCATAATTAAAGGTAAACAAGTCCTTGTTGACCAGTTACATCTTATGTACGGTGAACCACAGTGATTTGTACCCGGAACGCATTCGGGTCTCCTCTGACATCTATATATTCTCCGTGTAAATATATCATTAATTCCATCAACCACTAGAAGTCTCCCAAGACCCATGGAAACAAGAGGTTGATGACCTTGATCGCCTACTATTCTTGGATAGTCTCGGCCAGGATTTATTCCGTTTTGCCTTTGTCTTTGTCGAAATTCTTCCCATAAACAATCAACGAAAGCGTGGTGAGCAAAAAATGCCGGGTCATACGATGAAGATTCTATGCGACTCATTTGCTCTCCAATCCATACGTGAACATGATTGTGTAATAGTTCTAAGTTATAGCGATCCTCAGCACTTGGATTGGAAATTTCCCACATCCATCGGCGGCTTAATACATTGTCCACATCAGTTTTCGTCATTAACCTACGGTCAGCTCCGATGTCACGGCGGAGGGGTCCATACGGAGTGGAAAATCGCCGGAAGGGACCTGTTACCACAGCTCCATTTCCGTTTCCTAAAAAAAGCGGGGACCACATGATAGATCTTCGTGGATCTGGAAGCTCAGCGTCCAGTGTGTTATCCCAGTATGGAACTGTTACGTTTGGTACCTTTTCACGAAGGGCGTTTTCGAACCTAAAAGGAGATTTATGTTTATAAAAGTTTTCTGACAGATTTATTTATAATAATCTCTTTTAGTCACCTAAAACAGCAAAATTATGGTACAAGACAATTTTATGACACATTACTCGCCTACATGGGCCAATAGTATATATATTTTTTGAAAGTCGTTATATAAGATAGGACTCATTTTCTAACATCACAATACCATTATAATCATAGGACATGATAAGTGCGTTCATTGAACAGTTCTCTTTGCTGTCTTTGTCCAAGTTGAGGCAAGCAATGTTATGAATCGGTAAAGTAAATGACTGAGTGATAAATGTCCGCCTCATACATGTATAACGACACCTTTAATCTTGGACAGTGAGATATTGGTGGATAACCAAGTAAATTACGTGTAAAGTACATGTTCACCCCCTCCCTCTTAAAAAATTACGATATATGATTTTTTCCATAAGCATCCTTTATTACTATTATTGTAAACCTAGTCACCAAAGATCCATCATTTATGAGAGAATCATACAAAAGTGTTCTCTTTGGCTAAGATCCTGCCATAAAAGAGCTATAAATGAACCCTGGAAATGACTAGGAATGACGAACCAGTTTTTATCTGATCTATCAAAAACAAAACATTACGTATCTCGAATGTACAAATCCTGTGTTGGGTCAAAAATAAAGGTCATATTCTGAATGTTTTCATTATTTTATCAGTTCATGTCTCAAATTTATTCAATTTATTCAATTAATTATTTATAAATACAGGTTTTAACTTATTGTGAAGTAAAATGAAAAAGGGGAGTGTAAATTGAAAATATGGATTCATGAAGATATACGTTTCGCTTTAGGATTGATATTTGGTTTTCTGATGTGCCATTTTGTTGACCAATCAAACCAGAACTTACAAAATTCAAATCATGACAGAGTTTCAATAGAGAAAACAAGAAATCTCAAAAAAACAAAAAAACAGATCTACATGTATTAATTACTATTGTACTTTCAGTTTCAACAATATACACAGTATTGTTGTCTGTAAATACTTACAGCGTGAGATAAATTCTGTGCCATCCCAAAAATCCCGGACCGCCATGCGCACCGGAAGCTGTGTTCCGATGATGAAGCGAAGCAATGGCGTCGAATTTATTTGGCAATACAGTCTGTGAAATATAACGAAAGAAAGAAAAACCATTACTTAACTTTATGATAATACAAAGCACCATAAGGCCAGCATTTTTTTATTTTTAGGTTTACAAACCCGCCGCTCAAGTTTTTGCATTTTCAGAAAAAAAATAAAATTGAGAAAAACAGAATTTTTTCTTTCCGATGTCAAATTTGAGTCGGGATCGAGGTTTCAAATTTACGAACTCGTACTTCCGGTTTTAAATTTGTGTCAAGTCCATAGCAGCACCTTGATTTAATGTAAATATTTATCGGTAGGAGTGCCATTCAAAACGTTTCACCCGTTCAGAGAACAATAAAATGCTGACGACTTTGTTGCAAAGTGACATGTTGGTGAGATAATTATGTATCCGTATTCAAAAGTAACTGTGTCTGTAATTGTAAATTATTTTCCTCCCACAGGTTTAAAACTGCCCATGGTAGCTATTGTCAGAGACATTGTTTATGTTTCTGTCATAGCTTACAGTCTTAGCATCATTCTTCAGAAAAGGGTCGCATAAAGGCGCTCTTCATCATTTATGCATCAGATGTAATGAATAAAACTATATTGGGAGAAGTTAAATCCATTTGAGGAAGAAATAAACAATAGCCTAAAGAAATGAAATATTTCAACTATTTAAAAACAAGAATATACAAATATATACAGGCATATAGTATCGTTTATGGCGGCCAGAAAAATTATTTTACACTTAATTGAAAAAATTCCACCCTACTCCTCAATAAAACTCCCTGTCTGTTTTATGAAAGGAATTATTACTTTTATAGGTCTAGAGTAAATTAATATTTTGGATTAATTTCTACCTAACACACACATTAAAAACAAAAATGAAGATATATTAAAAGAGATTAAAAAAATTGATTTTTTGTTTTAAAAAATCTGTATTTTGTCCAACATCAAAAGATTTATATCACTGCCCCCAACTGGTAGATGATGAAATAAACAATTAAAGGTTGTATTTTCCCCTTTGTAACCCTTATGTGTCCAAAGGCAAGAAGCCTGTTAGGAGAGCATAAAAAAGAAGAAAAATTAATGTAAAAAGTCGATAACTTTTCCAAAATTTATATTTTTTTCATTTCCTCCTCCTACGGGACTTTTTCATTCTGATGTTCGTAAACCTAAAAATAAAAAAATGCTGGCCTAATGTTTTTAATTTTCATATGATAAAGGCGCATTGCATTCATTTAAAGGCCGTTAACAGCATTAAAAATGTTGTGCAAAGTGTGAAAATGAGTGAATGAGGTTCATGTGTACCCTGTCGTTTTTAAGAAGTAGAATGGCTTGGTGATAGTTCCTGCGCTCTTCATCTGACAGTAATCTGTACTCTTTGCGCACGCGTAGTTCGTTTCCCCTTGGAAGGTAGAAGAGGCCATTCATCCATTGCACAAACCGGGAATTGGCGTTAGTCGGTGTCCTGATTTGCAGACGACTTATGGGGAATATCGCCATAAAAAGGATGAGCACGTGCAATAGAGACATAAGTGACGGCATGATCTGAAATATAATTAATATATTGTTAATTAAACAGTTTCAGGATATGTACATAACGATGGAAAACAGCATGAAATAAAACTAGAGTTTAATTCAAACTAGGAAGTAAAAAATTTGCATTTAAATTTTGCATAGAATGTATTCCTTTAGTGTTGCAATTAAACATTGATGAAATGAACAGCTACAGATATATGAAAGTAATAGATAGACGAACGGAGGTATAAACATAATATTTTTATGCTTTGACACGCTTTTCGTCTTATGATGAGCACTTCATTAACCAAGCCACTAGAGAACGATAAAAATATGAACTTGACACATCTGACATATACATTGTACTGCGTCCAAAATCTCTGCTTATACATGGTTTACGACTCAACATTGCGCTAATACCTGTCACTACCTGGCTGTATCTATAGTACGTTTTGAACGAATTAGGTTAAACTGGATGATCAAAAGTAGCCGTATTTTTTTTTCTTGTGTTTGCGTTTTGGGCAAAACGAAGAAACAAATTCTTAAGAAAAACTTCGTATATAACTTCTGTGAAATCTTCGCAATATTTTCTTTTGGTGGCGAGTACCACGAATCCTTGTTCTTCACGGAATGATATATGTTTTAATTAAAAGAACAGTCTAATGGTTTTTCTTCTACCACTATATTCAGTTCCTCCCACGAACCAATATATCTTCATTAAACAACGAAAATATAAGAAAACGAAATTCAAAAGTTTAAAAGTATTAATTTTGTGTCAGCAAAATTGTATAGTCAGCAATTTTTTTTCTTCGAGTTCGTGATTAGAATTTCAGAAATGGGTCCAAGAGAAATGTTGATATATGCAAAGTTGTAAGTTAAGAATACAATACCTTTATTAATTTTTTTTTAATTTTCAGCTTTTTTTTTTTTAGCAGACTCAAATATTTATTTTTCAAACAAGAACATCAAACGTCTACAGCAACTTGAAAAATTGTTAGCCCATTTATATCTGCAGACATAATTACATGTTCCTAAGGAATTTATATCTAAAAGTATAGGTGAATGAACTCTTATGCAGATTTTTCATACATTCAGGTCAGGGAGAAAATACATGTGTCAGGTTCTAGCTTGTAATGAGAAGATTCTACCACAAATAACGACTTAAACGATGTACCGGTATGGTACATGTACAACCAGAGAGCAGATTTATATTACAGTCTCACAAGTAACAATAGTCCAAGAAACACTATTCAGAACTATGCATTTTGTTTGAACAGAAATGGTGTGCCATATTGAATTTTATAAATAATGTGTTGGTAGTAAGTACAAAGTCTATACCCCCCAAAAGTTACCCCACAAAAGTTTTTATAAAGATTTTAAACATGACCTTTCTCTCAAATACATTTTATGTATGGATAAGATGTCTGCAACTTGCAAATTTATTTCTTTCATATTTTTTTTGTTTGTTTGCTGATTTTGCATTTTTTTTCTTTTCTTTGCTTGACTGATTTAAAAACTTCTTTAAGAAATAAAGTCACGTAATGGCCATGGTACATTACTGTCTTTTAAAATCACAATGGGTAAAGAATCGTGTTTTACTGGTTTAGTTTTGCCGTATGACTAATGACAGTGGGAATCTACGGTGCCTAGATACCTTAGTGGTTAAGGTCCCTGACAGAAAGACGGACAGAAAGGACACATGGCCTTGACCCAAAAAGTCATCCGTAAAATTCTCCTTAATGGTAACCTTATCACTACCTGCTAACTGATATTTTAATGTTGTTAAAATAATTATAAACCTCGTTTTTTCTCGGTTTTGAACAAGGGACCCACTTTGCTTCAGGAATGGAGACCAATTTAATTCTGAGTAAAATCTTTAATTCGACATTAACTTCTTCAATACTTCATCTTCAGATATTCAAAAACTAAAACGTTAGAAATAGTTCTACGGTAAATAAAAGATTACATGACAATGGCCTTTGCGGTAAAAACTATATTACCATATCGTGGAGGAGCAGGTGCGCGTTCTAGGTTTGACCTAATCTTTGTTGATGACTATTTGACCATAATATGGCCAAAACTGTCACGATATTGCTAAGAGACCTCAACAATTTATACTAATATACCATTATACATAATCATTATTGGTAAAATCGTCAGATATATGTTTGAGTAATTATTTCCCCCACAAAGTGTTTTTGTAATCAAATACTTCTGTGTCTAGTCAGGCTAAGTATTATTTTTTAGCTATATAGCGAAAACCTAGAATCAAGATGTGCTTAGTGTTAAGGCAACTTTTTCGTTTTTCCTACTTACATTACAAATCGTAATTTTTTTTGGTTGTAAAATTATGCTGTAATTTTCAATTTTCAATCTATCATACACTAGGAATGTATACGAGTTATCACAAAATAATATGAATTATATTTTTTTCATATAAATATAGTGAAAACAAATATAATTGAAGCTTACACATTTTGTTCTTTTTTTCTGAAATACTTATTTTTAATGCATAAATACCGCAGCTTGTAGATGATTTAGATACAACAAATTACTTGACGAGTCTTCATGATCTATTGGTATCTGTAACACATCTCTCAATCATTATTCATATGACTACAATCAATGTCATAATTGTGTGTTTTGTCACAGTTTTGCTCTTTAAAAAAGCTTTAACATTAATTTTTATTCCATTTACGACATTCATTTTTCTAGTGGATCAACTGGGAATAATTCATTATGAAGAAAAATTTTTGTCAATCATGTCACTATCGAACTCATTATTTATGTGTTTTACAACATTGTAAATAATAAGCAAAAACTTTGATACTTAATGTGAGAGGAAAACAGATTCACGGGTCAATCAAATTAGTTTAATTTTATGGCTTGTTTTGATTTCCTCTTGGTACATGTACATATTCTGGATTTCGAGTTTTACTGCCTAATATACAAATTACTGGGATATGTGACACAGACACTTGTTTCATATGTGCAGAACACATCCTACTTGTACTTATTTTAACCGCAATATACCTAACACAATTTCAGACACCCCGATTTCAAACTCGTATGAGTTCATTACCGTCCTCCCCGGCAAGGAAGACGGTATACATGTACAGATTTGAATTATCTTGCAGTCTTCAGCTTGTATCTTTCCTCTAATTTGATTGTGGAAGATGTGTGATGTAAAAAAAAAATTAAATTACAGTATGCTGTTCAAGGGAAGGAAGATTATTTTTGGTGATTGAATAAATATTCGTACGACTTATCAATTTTTCAAGCTTTCGATCTTAAAAAATATCGACAAAACGAACAAAAGAAAATTACGGTAAATGAAATTGACTCTTACCAACTGTTATCAAGCTTTTGTATATATTCATGGTTAATGGGATATTTTCGGTATATATTTTTGTAAGCAAGCATTAAAATTTGTGTCTGTTCTTCTTTCGCTTCTATAAATGGTGGTTCTAATTGTCCGTAAAAGACAATAGAAGATGTACAAAGCCAAGAACTCCAGTACGTACTCAATGATAATACAGCTTGATAAAGTAGGTGTTTATCAGTTAACTGTTTTAGTTTGTTACTAACGATTTCTTTCTTTTCCAGATCTCTTTTATCGACTCCCTTTATAGTAATGTATTTTCAACGATATCATTTACAAAGGAAGAAATGAAAATAGTTGCTTTCCTAGCAATAGATTTCTGTAACATAACTCATTATTCTTTTTCGAGACAATATATGGGCTTTAACGAATTTTTATTTTATGACCTCCATTCTTGATCTTTCTTACTATCGAGTTTTTTTTTCTTGCATACTTGATACAATTTTCTCTTCATACAGTCAGTTTGTGACACGTTTTTAAAGGATTTTTTTAGTTACAGAATACCTTTTTACAGAGAATATTGAATACTGAATTCCATATACTAAGCCCAGAGTGACCCCAAGGGTTGATATCATATTTGTTATCATGGATTTGTTAATAATGCAAAAACTCTATTTAACATATATTTAATTTATTATGCCAGTTCACATGTATACACACCAAAGATGTTTCGTAATTCATGTTTATGAACTTTTTCGTTGAAATCTTATCGAGTTATTTTTTTTTAACAGATGATCATTGAGTAGTGAAAACTTGTTCGTGCTAGTACCTCTGCGAAATGGGACACTGCTTTATACGGTGTTTTCCGCAGGACTGGTCTCCAATTCCCACACCGGGATTTGCCTGCATTGTGCATGGTTGGGGTATAGTTCTGTTATATGTGCAGGGCGACAAAATGTTCCTTCACAGGTCACTAACACGTGAAATATGTTGGAACTATTTACATCTAATAATAACTGTCAGAAATGCATAAAATTAAGAAGGAAATGTCTACCGTAGCAATACTTTTTGAACTATCCTATGATGGCACTTATAGGAAATTGCTGTCATGGCAATATTGTGGATTTTTTCTACACCATAAGGACGTAGAAATTGTCTAACGCAGCATTAAATGGGAAATGTTTACCTTGGCAGTGTTTTGGGGTCTTACTATGGCAGTATTATGGGAAAAAATACCATAGCAACATTTTTGAAGAAAAAAAATCTACCATAACAAAGTTAAAAGTGACTATCATAACATTAGGCGGGACGCCGTAACAATCCTATAGTCGTGGGGGAACTGTCTTATTCTCACTATGTACCGTAGAAAAAACATGGGAAATTTCGCCCTATGTCTATACCATGGCATTAAGTGGACAATGTCTTTAGTGGCAATATTGCGGGGAAATGTCAACCATAGACAAAAACGACAAAGTTTTCTGTAGGAGGACAGAATAAAAGATTTAAATTGATACACGTACAAACTCACAGTTTTGACACTTTTCATAGCTGGGGCACAAAAGGTTAGTAACTTCCTGTGCATAAATTTTCACAATCGTGTCTCTCCTATCACTTGCGCTTAATGCATTACAATCTTCGGGCAACTCTGTGTATGCTTACTTCATCACTTCAAAGTCACTTGTCAGAGCTTGCAAAATTTTACAAACATTAATTTTCTTCACGAGATGTCCGACACGGAAAAAGAGACGATTGCACTTGATTGTTCAAGCATTCTGCACACAAAAAATGTCATCCATGGCCATAATTTTCAAAAAGGAGGTGTACATCCCAAATGCAGAGTTTATTGCTGTCACAAAATTCTTTTTAATGAAGATTAAATTTCGTATTTATAGAAAGCCATTTGAAAGAATGTAAATCATGAGAGATGGGAAAGATGGGAAAGAATTTTGTATTTTTTATTCTTCAAACTTTTTCAAAAAATTGTCCACATTCTGTTTGAGATTAAAGAAAACCTATATCGAGTCAGTCAAATCTTCTACAAAACTTGTATTTGACGTAAAATAACATTTTCTGATTCAGTGAAACATCCAGTGAAAAGTAACTTTATACTGAGTAATCTGGTCGCTTTTATAAGACAATTACTTTATTCCTTTTTCCTTAATTATTCATCAATTAGTAATGAAAAGAAAGTACCTGCTTTTAAGTCAATTTCCCCCTTAAATCCTGTACTATCCAGATAGAACGAAGTACACACAAAGTATGAAATTAATCATAATATGCTCACATGTCTAAAACAATGCTCTTTCTAAACAACAAAAAGACAATGGAAAATGATCTGCGGTTGTCATTGTATTTTTTTGTTTATATTTCTCTCATTTATTTAAGCCCAGTCTACGTAACACGGTTGATTATAGGTGATAAAAATGGTATAAAACTTTACAAGCATAACGCTTTTAGTTCTCGGGGGTTTGGAATGCAACAATGCCTTACACTTGTCGTTTCGTTAATTTATCTGTCATATTTTCGCTGTTTTAGATCATCGTCAGACATTGACGAGTGAAGGAATTTTACAGAACATGTTCATGGCACTTATATCTTGGTGCGGACTTTGATATTTGTACTTGTTCCTTGCATTTCCTCAATATAGAGAAATAAGTTCCTATTTTGTCAATGTCCCCCCGTGGAAAGTGTATTTCAATGAGTCATTTGGACAGTCACTGAACTTTAATTGCCCACAGTGCGGAATTTTTACGTTTAAGTTCAAAGTGAAACAAAAATTAAGATATGTGTTATTTTTCTATTTCGGCGGTGGTCCCTTTTCTCAAGAAATGTTGTTGGTTATGCTCCTAATGAATTCATAAACCCATTTCAAGACAACTCAGTCGGGATTTATCGCTTCATATCTACGAAGCCTAAACTTTGCTTGATTTATATTACTCTTATTTATTCGAATTGTTCATTATTTTATATAACTAGTGGTAGGAAAACATAAGCATCACGATAGTCACACTTTTCTTCCATAAAACAGTGTCGTTTTGTTCGTGACTATTGTCATGCAATGCATGACAAGGTCTGGAGGCTATTTTAACATGTTTTGATGCAACCGTTAATAGACCAACAGCCTCATGTGTCAATTTCAACACATGTAAAACATTTCGAAAGACATATAATTTTGCAAGAAATTAATTACCCAAATAGTGATTAATGTGGACCATTCCAGTTTATTGAAGTTGGAAAATTTAAAGAATATGGCAAATTATATATAAAAATTAATGCAAGTTTTTGTATGTACAGACATTAATTAATAACAAGGTAATTGGAAAAAAAACAAGAGCGATACAATCGACATTTATTCCATTTTTTTTTTCAATGATAATCTTCAAGGTTTGTCTAAAGAGATGGCAAAGAAATGGTGATGAATGTGTGCAGCGTTTTATGATTAGGAATCGTCCAAGCGATTTAAGTGTGTCCGTGTACAAGTCGCCGATAAATCCCTCACAACCGATCTTTGACACCTTTATTACCTCCTAGAGCAGAAGAACGGAGGTATTGTGCAGTATGGGTTATAAAAATGCAATATTGCCGAACAATGTGTATTGTAGAGAAGAGAGGGTCAAGCTAAACTTTGCACGATTAATATTACGCAATGGTGTATAGACTCTGAGGAATTCCTTAGGTTTTAGTATCTTTATAAATCTATAAAACAACTGACAGGTCCATAATACCAAAAATTCCACAGATGTCAGTATAAAATTATTTTTGAATAATTACTGATTAATTTTCTTTTCTCACTGGTATCGTATATCGAAGGTAGATATTTTAATCTATATTTATCATATGGATCTATGTATTCATGGATTGAAATACAGTAAAACTCAGTTATAATGAAGTCATTGGGACCTGTGAAATTACTTCGCTATATCCATAATTCGTAATATTCATATAAGGAATTCGTCAAATTCATATAGTAGGAATATAGATAATTTATATCCGTAAAAAATAAATGAGTTTTACTGTAATTTTTGACATTGAAATTTTAATGAGTTCATTTATATAACATAGTTAAATATTATAAAGTATGAATACATTTTTGTCAAAAAGAAAAAGGAAAATTAATAAATTTTAAAAATTAAAAAGATCACATAATTAATAGAATCCAAGAAAACTTTCACAGATGAACATTAAATCTACATTCTCCATAATCATAAGGCCTTCTGTTAGATTTATTTTATCTATGATAAATTACTTAACAGGTATATTATACTCTTTTCATTTCCCCATATCGAGTGTAATAAAGTATGCATAAAGACCAAATGTCCTCGATACAAATAACAAGAATTAAGACGGAAGATTGTAAACATCCTTTGTTTTAATAAATAAAAAACATATCTCAAGTTTAAACCATGAGATGTTAACCTTTTTGTCTTGTTTTTCTCTGAAGCTGTCGACATAATTCTAAACTGACTTCCTCTGGGACATTAAAACAAAACGTCACGTAGACAAAAAAAGAAAACCATTGTTTTAAAAATGTCTCCAAAAGTCCGACTTTATATGCATTTTTTAAGGGTGTTATGACTTAAAAAATTACCAAACTGATGGTCATTGATATGACTCAGCAAATATGATTTTACCGGTGATTTAGAAATTCGGGGGAATTTTAGGTCTTATTTATATCTTAGTCCAATTGTTCTTGTCGACCAAAAATGTTGTCGAACACACAAAAGAAATGTCGATAGCTTAGAAAGCACGTGTTTTGTCCAGATTTATGATTAATAGTGTCTCTGTTTCGCAATCTAGACAACCAACAATAATGGTTTGTCCCGCATTGAATGCACCGGCATCTTTTGGTCATCTAAGATGACGTCATGCATCATTGCCCACTAAGTGACTTTCTAAAGATCAATGATCCGCCTCTTTAATTGTTGTAAGCTGATAACATTGCACATTTTGACTCTAATTTTGTAATTTTTAAATAGAGTGAAAACTATTCATTTACATAAAGATTGTATTGTAATTTAAGAAATTTATTGGAGATAGTTTGGGAGGTATTTCTTGATATTGTAAAAGTTAATCCCATTCTTATTTAATTTCTATCGATGTTTAACATTGAATCATTTGAATAAATTATAATTAATCATTAACTGATAATATCTGATTGTACAGCATATTTAAGATGCTCCACAAATTGCAGATGTATACTAAAAGGTAAAAAATAAAAGGTTTAGTTTTGTCTGAAATGAAAACCAGGAACAATAAATCCGAATCAGGCATGTAAACCACTCTGATCTAGGACCTAAAGTTTAGCACCAGATGACACACTTATCTTCTTGATGAATTATAATTTAATGTTTAAAGCAAGAAAAATGAAAAGTAAAACATTAAACTATTATTGATCGAGTTTACTACATGACTATTATTATTTTTAATATGTTGTTTGATAAATGCTTTTTCAAAAGACAAGACAGTTCAGTGGTATACATTGCCTGTAAATCATTGTTGGGGTAAAGACTTTTTTCGAAAACATAAAGAGCAATTGATAATTATCAGGTGATTTACTTGTTAACATTTTGTCAAATTTTTTCTTCAAAGGTTAACCTTCAAAATTAATTGCATAATTATTTTGAAATCATGGCATAGCATAAACAAAATTGAAATTCACAAAAAATCCAAAGTTTAAAAATACATGAAAATAAATTCTTCATTTGAAACAAAAAAGGTGTCATTGTTATTCAACATATGATAGGATTTGCTGTGTCAAAAAGAAGAGCCATCTCGCAATATTTGACAGTCTATGAATGCTAAAAAACACACTATGCTAATGACAAAAAAATCAAAATACCAACCTTTCAGTTGTATAAATATTTATCTCCTTAACGTAATTCCTCATAAAATTTTCTACTACAGACTTTTGTGCAAAAAACTTTGGGTATTGAAGGAGCTTGTAATATTCCTTATAATATCATGCCGACACTGGTCTTAGAGAGTCTACCTCCACACTGGTAAGGCCCGCGAACGACAGAATCTCGTCTGCCTAGTGCGTTACAGGTAAAGCTAGCATTCACCTGGAATCCACCAGATCGCATTTGTCATCACACCTGTCAAATAAATACGAAAGAAGACATGTTTTGTCTTAATTTATAGTTCTTCAAACCCCGATCACTGATTTCAGTGGTCAGATCTATAACATCCTATCAATTTTGCAAAATCACCATTATCATCCCTTTGAACCGAATTTTTGCATGTCGCAGTGATAAATTTTTGAACATTGGCTATTCACGTTTTATTTCATATCAATTGATATTGAACTGACTTTTAAATAAAAAATATTAAAATAAACAATTTTTTTTTTTAATTCTAATAACAAAGTTTTTGCTAATTAATTACTTGACAGAACGCTTAAATTTTCATAAAGAAAAGAAGACAAAATTATTTTCAATGTGTTTAAAATTATTTCTTAGATTTTCATTTTCATTTCCTTTGATCATATATTTTTTTTTTCAGTAAAACACTTTCACTATATAACAAATTTCTCTTAAAAAAACAACAACAGCAAACAAAACTCCTTCAAAAGTTATAAATAATTTTAAAATTAGTTTAAAGTTTAACTAGGTTAAAAAACAAGGCTAGGGACATGAAGTAAAATATATATTTTGTACCCTAAGACAGGTCTTGTCACAAAGAATACACGATGAAAAATGAATGTCCTTGACCTAAGCATTCAAATATTATGGTCAAGGTTGAGCTTTTGCGACGAACAGAAGGACAAATAGACGTACATATAAAAAAAAAACTATACGTTCCAATAGCTATTTTAGCTAATAGATATTTTATAAAACTTGATAAGGAAACGTGCTACAAAAAAGTGAGTGCATGGATTGATTTAGAAAATTATCTTTTTATGTTTGTTTATAAATGAAGCAAATATCTAATTCTTCAATTTTCATTTATAAAAATAAGATTTCTTTGTAAAACCCCGATGACCTCGTGTGGCAGATTATGGCAAAGGTTAAAGTCTCTCAAATGAAAGTCAAACTTCTAGGTCAAGTGTTTAAAATTGTTGGTACACATAGAAGGAATGACTGTCCAATTAAAATATACTTGTGGATACGAAATACCAGGCTACAACCTTTCAAACGTGGTGGTTATTTTTTAAGAGGGTCAAACGTCAAGGTCAAATGGTCGAAATATATTGTAACCAGGGGAAGGATGTAATACAAGGAATGCACCTGTGAAATAAGAAAGTCCCTATAATTCTAACCATTCAAAAATTGCAGCCAAGGTTCAAGTTGATTTAGGCCAAGGCCAATGTCAAATGGTAAAAAAAAATATATGATTATATATATACCCAAGAAAGGCATTGTCACAAGAAATACACATGTGAAACATGAAAAACTTAGAACCCCTTTTTTCAAAAGTTATAACCAAGGTTAAAGTTGGGTAAGTTTTTGGCAAGAGTGGGTCAAAGTCAAAAGGCCAAATATTTTTATTACCAACTACAAAATGTCTTTTAGATTTAATAAACTTTTATGAATTTGAATAAATGTTTTCTTGTACAGCTGTTGTAGCTATTTTTCTTTTTCTTTATTTAAATTTGCAACGTGTATGTATGGAAAACAATTACTTAAGTACTACTTTTGCAACCACCAAAATATATATTTGGCTTTTTTATTACAAATATTCATTCTGAGTCTATATATTAAGAATTGATGTATGATGTTTGCACACAACTTGTTTGCAAAATAGAAATTTATCCGTTTAATATTCCCACGTACGCACCTAACAATTAACAAATACAAATGCACCTGCGCTCTATTTTGTATAAATATATATATTTGGTAACATGAAACGGTGTTTTCAATGTTTTGTATTTCGATTAGCTAGAATTTCTTTCTAATTTTAACCAACAATATACCACGGAACTAAATTTACATTCCCTCAAAATAATGGTGTATACTGGAATATCAAGGAATGCATGTATCAACACGTGTAAGTTGCAATTTGACCATGCTCCCTCAAAGTTCAGCAAGTAACATGCAAAATTCCTGGAAACAAAACATTTAAAATCAAAATGCAACGGCGCACTAGGAAACAAAATAATCTTGTCAATTACTTGTTTTACAATGTCAGTACCTGGTCCAATAGTTAGTGTATACTCGAGGAACAATCGGACATTGTCTGATCAAGATTTTGATCCCTCGTAACGTCTGTTGTTGAATAATTTATTAAAGAAAGAAATCACTCAAGGATCTTTTTCACTTCCCAAAAAGTCATAAGAATCTCAAGCATCTATTTGATATCAACTTCAGGATACTTGTGCTTACAATCAGAGTGTTTTTAACAAAGTAGTTAATGAGCATTTGCTGTGGACAAGTCACACCACCTACATATTAATAGGCAGGCAGATTGTTCCAAAGTTTAAAGTAGGAAAGCATGGAAAAATCATAAAAAAGGACATAACATTAAGGATAGATGATATAATAGTTGCTTTGAATGAAACTTAATAACAAGGGAAAGTTTTAGGGAAAAGTGGATTATTATTTAAATTGTTCTCCTTAGACTTTGTGAATGAAAAACCTACCATATTTCCCCCCAAAAGCAAATAACCAGAGTAATCATGGTAAAATTGTTTAATATTTATTAATTTACCCTTTTTTCGCCTCAAAAATTTTTCTAAAGAAGCACAAAGTGAACTGACATTTCATTTACTTAATAACCTGTCGTATTTTTTTGCATAAAAGTAATGATACCCGGAAAATATGAACTAATACTTTAATAATATAACAAATGTCCACAAATCACACTCAGTAAAAGTGAACAAATAAAAATAATTTCAGAATATGTTTGTTTGGTGCTTCTAGCGTAATATAAACTTTATAAACTTAAGAATTTTATAATCTAGGAAAAGCAAAACGGTGAAAATCAAAAAAATTGAATAGGATGACTTTTTTTTGCAATTTTACTTTTCCTCATAAAATCACTTTGCTTGGCATATTTTTTAAATGTTTATATTAAACATAAGCACCATGCTAACATCTGTAAACCTTTACGGAGTGTGATGTGTCAATTTTTATAATTCTATTGAAGTATTGAAGTATTTATTAATATTTTCCAAGTGTCATTTCTTTTATGCAAGAAAAAACAAAATTAAGGTTATTGAGTAAATATAATATCAGTTCACTTTATTCTCTTTTCGAAAAATATTTTTGAAGACAAAATTTTAAACGAATGAAGGTTAAGCAATTTTACCATGATTAATCTAGTGTGTGCTTTTGGGGGATAATAAGGAAGGTATTTCATCCTCCAAGTCTAAAGAAAAAATTCAGAGAATTATCTATTTGACTAAAATTGTAACATGCTATCTCGTAAGTCTCTTTCAAAGGAAGTCATACAAATTGATAGAAGACATGGTCTCCGAAGACTACAGATACGATATCAATGAAGAACTCCAGCTTTCTTTTTATAACTACACATGTAGTTCAGAGAACGATTGTTTAGAATCAGAGTGATTTTGTTGATGGCCAATCACAAGATAAAAATGTCTGAAATTGCTTAAAAAATAAATTTCTAACGTACATAGAAATCGTAAGTTTTCTTTTGGAATATATGCAAGTTTTGGACTATACCTTATTTTTTAATCATTATTACAAAATTTCACTAACGTACCTTTGCAGACAGTTAACGTATTAGAACAAAAATATATATGAGATATATTGCGGATTTTTTTTAAATTGTCTGTGTCATTTATCCTCAATGAAGCTCATGGGAACTGCTTTAAACTTACAGCAATTTTCTATTCGCCAACATACTGGTATTCGAAAAAAATTGTCTTGAGTTAAGTAACCACCATCAATTTGTTTATGGTCTCCCACAATAACAAGACTAATGGTTTACATAATTTTCTTGTTAAACATTTATGGTGGTATTGCGATAGGGAAGGGTGTGTACAAGTATTGTATAAATTTTGCATAAGGTAACTCATCTTAAAAGATGAGTGGATTATCGTCAACTAAAAAATATTGTACAAGTAGTCTTCTTTGATTTAAAGAATATATATACTTTCTAATTTATAAAGAAATGCCTGTCTCTAAAATTTTACTTTTACTCATGTCTGAGTTTTCGACCTAGGAATTGCTCTACTATTTTACAGATTCCGCACTAGAATTCTTCCCCAAATGGTGTGCAGAGAATAAAATGTCATAGCTATCTAAAAAGTACACTCATATCGAATGAATTCACATGATTACTGAGCATCTTCTTTCACATTAAAAGTAACAAACGAGACCTCTCAATCTTTTTAAACGATAACCTATGGCGTATTCGAAATGCTTTTTATTTCCTTTTGGTAGTTATTTTTACATATAGAGATTTAAATAAATGAATTTCAAAGATGAATTTCCGCTTTTTCTGTCACGTGCTTTAATATACTCGTTGTACTTTAAAGAAACGCCTAGCAAATGGAAAGAACTTTCTATCTTTTTATCTCAGAAAGAGATTTCACGAACTTTATTAATCGGTTAATCATGATTTAAGGCGGAAGTAGACACTTCATTTTTTTTTTACTCGCGTAATCCTTGCAATTCATACCTAGGAATGTCCAAAATAATCATTAATAACATTTCTTACATAAAGTCCGAGTCATTTCAATACGCTATGTGTTTTAGATAATAGAATTATGTACTATTTCGAGCAATGTCTGACAATTATTTGGCAGTTGATTAAAATTTTCATTATAATATATTAAAAGTGCAATTAAGCACCGAGGAAAATGAAATGCAGTGCGCAGCTAGAATAAATAATTTTTTTTAATCAATACCTCCTGAGTGTAACAAAGACTCTTTGAATTCGGTCTGGTTCATTACAGTAAGGTAAAGAGATGGTTAATTAATTAATTAAAATTTTAATTTCTTATGATTTTGATGCGTGCACCGTGGTGTATATGATTAAGTTCTTGTCACATTATAAGTACAATCTAAGCAGAATCATTGCGTTACACTTCTGTCTTGGTGCAGTACAGATTTCTCTAATTTTCAATAGAAAAAGTACTTTGAAAAATAGGTATTTACATAGTAAATTTGACATATGAAACCTGTAAATG